GGATTGATTTTGATCAAATACATGGTAATGTTATGGATGCAATGGCAGAAGCTATTGAACAATCAAATACAGTTCTAATTTGTATGAGTGAAGAATATCGAAGAAGTAGTTATTGTCGAGCAGAAGCAAATTATGCGTTTCAACGTCAAACTAGAATTGTTCCTGTTCTTTTACAACAACACTATAGACCTGATGGTTGGTTATTATTTCTTGTTGGTCAATTACTTTATATAGATTTTACCAAATATGAGTTTTCACAAGCGATCAATATGTTAATCAAAGAGTTGAAAGCTCCAGTCATCAGTGGTATATGTTCTGTAAATTTTCATCCGGAAGAAGTTAATACCATCATTCTTACTACACCTACATCACCAGAAACATCCTCTGCGTTGATAATTCCGAAAAATATACTTGATTGGAATCAAACACATGTGCATGATTGGTTAATTAGTCATGGTTTATTGCAAATGTCTCGTTTATTTGCTAATTTTAATGGTCGAAGTTTGATGTATATGAGTGAAGCCATAGAAAATGTTGAGTTTCAACAAGTTGTATCTCTATTACAAGATGACTCTCGTCGACAAACAAGTCAAAGTTTATCATTAGTTGAATTATCTCATTTTCGATCTCTATTGTATCAACAAAAACAATCTTCGGTATCGACCATCGTTGCCGAACCTACAAAACTGAAAGTTGAGGAATTAGAAAGAAAATCTTTTTTTTATTGTCAAATAGTTTAATAATTTTACACATTTATTAGAGATGTATCTTTATGAATATTGAGTTAGTTCCTCTGATGTTACAAGTATACATTAAAATAAACAAATCAATAAAACAAACTCTCATATAATATGAAACTATTAGTATCATAACAGGAATATGATTTATGTTCAGTAAATGAAAATAATTATTAAATCAAGAGAGCAATGATGGATAAGCAAATTAATAATTACTTGGGTTTGCAAAGAAATGTAAAATTCGATGAATATAATTCATTGATAGTCGATCATAACGAATTGTTCGTATAAAAATTGACTTGGTTATGATGTGAATCACCTAGGTCAAAGAATCTGACTAAAAGATCTTCTATGAGCGTAAAAGATCGTACGAAAATCTTATAAGATCTTGTAAGACATTATGTGTTAATCTTAAAGCCAGCATTTTGGATAAAATCATACAGTATAATGCTTGTATGGTTTTATTGTAAGGTATTCAAACATTCATCTAAGGTTTCACAGATGTTTCGAATATATTTTATAGTTCAATTTCTTGCTCTATTGCTTCTCACGCTCTCTGCTAGTTTTTACTACCATATCATGCCATTTTTCTCTATATCCAGTTCTTCTCCAGGAAAACTGAGGACACTATATACTCACTTGCTGTATTAGTTATCCTTAATCGTGCTGTTCAGTTGAATCTAAATGAGGAAAAATTATGTATTTAATAAAATTTATACTTTGCTTTTGACGATGTTGTTCAGACTAATCTAAATAAAAACAATAGTTCACTTATATAGATATCATGCATTACCCTTGAGCATATGAGTTCGATCTAATTTCAACAGTAGTTTACTTATTTAATTAATAGTTATTTATGACCATTGTTCTGAGTCGCATTGTTTGGTCAAATGCACTCATATGAAGTGTTAGAAGAAAAGTTAATTTTTGTTTTGAGTTGTTCTATGTTATGATATTTTGGAAGAATTGACTCTAAGAAAGCAATTTATTTTAAGGAAACTTCAGTTTTATGCCTTTCAAAATTACTATTAATTCTTCTGGAATCAAACAGCTTTCTCTTTTTCAGTCTATCATAATATTCAACAAAAATCTCGTTCAAGTTGTCTATTGATATCAATATTTTCTTATCCACCAAGAGAATGTAATAATCAACTAATACAAAACTTTACACATGGAATATGATGAAATCTAGAATTAAATCATTGAAATCCATCCGTAAAAAAGTCATCAATGCAAAAACTATGAAATTATGATTAGTTCTTCACATAAAGAGAAGATCATTTGTAGACAATTCTATGGAGAATTCGTCAAAACTGACTATTGTATTTGAATTGATTGTAATCGAATTCGTAATACTGGAACTAAATATAAATTCTTTTAAGTTATGGGAATGCTATTGATAGAATTGAATGGGAGCGTCAGTTCTATTTGCAATAAGTGAGATAACTATTCAATATACACAAGAAAATAACTTTGCATCTCTTATTTCTTGAGCATAATTTTCTATGGATGTTTTATGTAGTTTTATTTTTCATGATCAAAGTCTAATCTATCTAAATCAGTTCATAAAGAAAATAGCAAAAACATGAGGAAGTTTATCCTTATCTAAAGAAGATTCACCTTAATATACGAATAAAAATTTATTATTAGCCAAAATGTTTTAATTTTGATCTTTGATAGGCTAAGAGAAAGGAAAGATTATCGGATCAACAATGGCTTCGCAACTGATAAAAACGAATAATAACAGAAGCAGAAAAAAGAATTCATATAATGTATTGTCGAACTATGTATTTTTTATATTGCTTTTTCTACAAATTGCAGGCATCATTTAAATTTGATGGTTCATGAGACTGAGAAAATCTCGAACGTCATTGAATGTTCATATTGTATTGAGTTACCTTTGGAAGCAATGGATAATTGGAAACCATATCTGTTCAAATATTAAAATACATCTATTTCTATATCAATGTTACATTTCATTTCATCAACTTATGGATACATCCTTCTTTGCAATTGAAAAAACAATATCAAGTTACAGAAATATTTTCTCTGATCGTGCTCATTTTCAAAATAAATAATAGTCTTAAAAAAATTTACTGTTTGCCTATACACAAAACTTATTAAATTTTTCGATAAAATTGTTTTTGTTTTTTATTGCCATCAATATGAATTATTTTTGTAATTTAATCAGTAAAATCGAACTTTAACGCAGCAATATATACACATGTATTTTATTTAATACAAAAAGAAATTAATCAAAAAAACGTATCAATGATCTTTCTTTATAATACGTGTTAACTGTTCATCCTAGTGAGAATCATCTTCAGACACATGATATACAAGGAATTTTAATTTCATAACCACTATTAACAGTGATTCTCATTAAGATTGAAAAATTATATACGTACTAGAAAAGATTCTGTATAAGCTTTTTTTCTATTAATTACTTTTTTCTAGCAAAGAAAATAAATATATTATATTCCTGCATTAAAATTCGTTGTCATCCCTTGCTTGTCTTAAGTTATTTATCAATATATGAGTCCTATTAAAAGCTTGCTACAACGTTAAAGCAACTAAATTGCTTGCTATTACTGAGTATAAAGTAGCTATCAACATTGTGTTACCTATTTTTATTTACCTGCCTCGTGATTGTAACCTTTAATCATTAATGGCAAACACAATAAAAAAACAAAACGAATACATGTCGATAATAAACAACATGCATGCATGCATACCTGATCAGTGATTAGAACAAAAAGTAGATGTGCGCAATAGAAAAACATATTGCAAACACTAATAATGGAAAACAATTTTGAACAACTTATTACTACACTTCAAACATCTTCATCATACCATGATGTTCTTTGTGAAATAAAACGTGTTTTAGAAAAACAAAATTCTCAATTATTATCATCATTTATTTCACAATTTTATCAGTCATTACTCATTCTCGAACATTGGGTATGGCAGTTATTCAGTCAAGATACTCATTCATGGATTGAAGAACCAAACTGCTTAGAACTACTTCGTACACTTGCATTATTTAA